CCTATCACACCCACTCACAGTCCCTAGTGGCCTCCATGTGGCTGCAAACCATGGACACTATTAGCTCTTCTTCCATGACCCCTGAGCTGTATTCAAACTGCTGACCACTCCCATCCTCTTAAAGTTCTCCTGCCAAAGTTCTCTCTCCCTGTTTTTTCTGAGTCAGTTTCCTTTGTCATTTTCCATCCCCCACCTGCTCTTTTCTGGTCTAAATTCCTTAGGAAGTTTTTTCTCCACTCTCTTCTGTGATGCACCTAATCCCATGGTGTTAAATGTTATTAACATATCTCCAGTCCAGACCACTACTTGAGCATTGCTCCTATTTCCAAGTGCCCAACTGACATTTGCACTTCGATGTCACACAAGCATCTCAGCCACACACTTCCAAAAGAGAATTCTTTATTTCCTCCCATCCCCAAATCTGCTGCTTTGAGTCTTCTGCAGCTCATTGAATGATGGCTGCCGTTAATTAGACACCAAGGATTTGCCAGGCATCGCCCCAGGCCTTTGATGTACATTCTGCCTAGGCTAAGAATCATATGAGAGAATGGTAACCACCATCCACTGATGGATAGAGAAACAGACCCAGAGGTTAGGTAACTTGCCCTGGGTCACGGAGGCAAAACCAGGGTTGGCACCCAGGTTTCTGATGCTAACATCCTTGCTCTTCCCATTCTGTCCGTGCCTTTTCAAATCAGGCTCTTGTCTGAGTGTTTGGAGACCATCTTCATCCTTAGGTACCCGCAGGACCACCACCTTGCATAACTCCAAGGGGACACTGACAGTGTCACCTGTGTGAATGGAGCTCCTTGGAGCCCTGTGAAGACAGCCATTCACATAAACTAGAAGGGATGTGTGCAGCCCCTGGAACTTGACAGGTGGTGGCCATGGACATTGTCACGCTGGATTCCTTGGTCCCCTCCCATCTCACCCGATACCATTCCTTTTTAAAAACGTATTTATTTTTAATTGGAGGATAATTGCTGCACAGGTCGTGTTGACTTCTGACATACACCAACATGTATAGGTATACGTATGTCCCCCTCCTCTTGATCCATCCTTGAACCTCCCACCCCAACCCACCCTTCTAGGCTGACCCCATTCAGACTCCTCTCTTCCACCCTACCCACAGCACCCCAGAGGGCTCCCCTGCTAAAACCAGGCACTGTCAGACTCTGTGGGCACAGAGACGGGTCAGCTGTGGCCCCAGAGTGTAAGGAGTGTGTCAGGCAGAGTTCTCCAGAGAAACAGAGCCAATAGGATGTATATCTAGATAAATAGGTAGATATTGATAGAAAAAGACAGAGATTTTAAGGAATTAATTCACATAATTCACATTCGCATGCGGGCAAGCCCCAGACCCATATGGCAAGTCCACAGGCTAGAAATTCTGGCAGGAATTGACGCTGCAACCTTAGCCTGAAGGCTGGAAACTCAGGCAGAATTTCTCTGTTGTTATCTTAATGCAGAATTTCTTCTCCTACGGGGTGCCTTAGTCTTTGTTCTTAAGGCCTTCAGCTCATTGGATGAGGCTCACCTACGTTTTGGAGGCCCACCTACTTTACTTAAAGTCAATTGATAGTAAATATGCACGCATGCTCAGCTGCTTCAGTCACATCTAACTCTCTGTGATCCCATGGACTGTAGCCCACCAGCCTTCTCGGTCCATAGGATTCTCCAGGCAAGAATATAGGAGTGGGTTGCCATGCTCTCCTGCAGGGACTCTTCCCGACCCAGGGATGGAATATTCATCTCCTGAGTCTCCTGCTTTGCAGACAGATTCTTTTCCGCTGAGCCCCCAGGGAAGCCCTGTTAAACGTGAGTCATACCTAAAAACTACCAGCAACAGCTTGCCTGTTCTCTGAATGTCTAACCACACAACTAGACAGCTCAGCCTTGCTGAGCTGACACATAAAATGAACCCTCAGGAGGGGGTCAAAGTCACGGTCGAGGATGCAGATGAAAGAACCGTCAGCGGTTCAGTCCAGTCTGGCTCCTGCAAGGCTAATAGAACAAAGCTCGGGGAGGCACAGAACGTAGTGACTCAGACTTTCCAGAAGGAACAGACGGACAGCGGAGAAGGTGAGCCTGGCAGATGAGACAAAGACAAGAGGGGAGGCAGTCCAGCCCAGGGGCCAGCCTAAAAGACAGCAAGAGGGGCCGGAACTCGAGGTCCAGTTGGCGGCGTGTCCTGGGCATGTGCCGGTCAGACGCAGGTGGGTCCCGCGGTGGAAGGCCTCCAGTCCACATTGTCAGGCAGCTACGTGACTTCAAACTCAGAGCCTGTCAACGCGTAAGAACTGCTTATTCTTCCAGAACTGTAGTTTTTAGTCTACTTGGCTCCTTGACACCCTAAGGGCTTCATTCTTGCAAAAAATAGCTTTCTCTTTCATTTGAAGACATTCTAAAAGCTTGCTTTTCCAGTTGTGGAAGTGATTGGTTTTTTTAGTGTAGAAAATTGGAAAACATAGGAAAGCAAATCAGATACACATTGGCTGAGAAAGCACAGCTGAGTGGGAATTGCTGTTATGTGATGCTGCTTGAAGGATGACTGCTTTCTCTGCACAGAGATACGTCCTGAGCCGTCCACTCATCTCTGCAGACTGTCTCCTGCTGTGGTCTGCCCCTGCTGGGCCAGACCTCTTGCCTTCCATACAGCCCTTGAGAAGTCCATATGCTCCTCCTAAACTGTCTCTTTTGCCAGAATGTAAGCTCCATCAGGGCAGGGTGGGGTCTGTTTTGCTCACGATTTCATTTCTGTAACCTAGATACTTAGCGTTAAAGTGTTAGTCGCTCAGTCGTGTCCTACTCTTTGTAACCTACCAGGCTCCTCTGTCCATGGAATTATTCAAGCAAGAACACTGGAGTGGGTTGCCATTTCCCTTCTTCAGGGAATCTTCCCAACCCAGGGATTGAACCTGGGTCTCCTGCATTACAGATACATTCTCTACTATCTGAGCCCCCAGGGAAGCCCTCGATGCTAGGAGTTTAATGAATAATTATTGTTCATTAAGCTTAATAAATCATTTAATGCATAAACATTTTTGTTTTACATTTAATTTTAAATTTAAAAACACATGGGTGTAGTTTAAGTACAGTAAAGGATCCACATTGCCAACATCCATTGGGTCATCAAAAAAGCAAGAGTTCCGGAAAAAAAAATCTGCTTTATTGACTATGCCAAAGCCTTTGACTGTGTGGATCACAACAATTTTCCACAACTGTGTGGAAAATTCTTAAGAGATGGGAATACCAGACCACCTGACCTGCCTCCTGAGAAATCTGTATGCAGGTCAGGAAGCAACAGTTAGAACTGGACATGGAACAACAGACTGGTTCCAAATTGGAAAAGGAGTACGTCAAGGCTGTATNGAAAAGACCCTGATACTGGGAAAGATTGAAGGCAGGAGGAGAAGGGGACAACAGAGGATGAGATGGTTGGATGGCATCACTGACTGGATGGACATGAGTTTGAGTAAGATCCAGGAGTTGGCGATGGACAGGGAAGCCTGGTGTGCTACAGTCCATGAGGTCGAAAAGAGTCAGACGTGACTGAGCGACTGAACTGAAATGAACTTAAAGGATCCATCTGCCAATGCCCGAGATGGGGGTTTGATCCCTGGATTGGGAAGATCCCCTGTAGAAGCAAATGGCAACCCATCCCAAAATTCTTGCCTGGAAAGTCCCATGGACAGAGGAGACTGATGAGCTATAGTCCGTGGTGTTGTAAAGAATCAGACATAACTTAGTGATTAAAAAACAAGTATACCTATTTTTAATGTCGACTAGTGTGGGATTGGGGGCAGGGGGAGAAGGGGACAACAGAGGATGAGATGGCTGGATGGCATCACCGACTCATTGGGCATGAATTTGAGTAAACTCTGGGAGTTGGTGATGGATAGGAGGCCTGGGGTGCTGTGATTCATGGGGTCACAAAGAGTTGGACACGACTGAGTGACTGAACTAAACTGAACTGAGTGTATATTCCTTTATACATCTTCCTCATCTTGACAAGTAAGAATGTATTATCAATATTTTCCAATGATTATTAGGTATTCTTCTTTAACATAAGCTCCCAGTACATGAATGTGCCAAAATTTAAACTTTCCTCTTAGATATTCTGTCCTATTGTGAAGACCATTTTTCTACCGTGAAAAATGTTGCAATGATCATCTCAGGCTTAAATCTTTGTACATTTTAACTACTGCTTTAGGCTAACTATAAACGGAGTCATTGGGCCAAAGGACTGAAATATTTTTACAGCTCTAGAGACATTTTCAAACTCCAGAAAAGCTGTATAGCTTTCCACTTCTGTTATGCTAGTGATTCTGGTTACAGTTGTGCTGCATGTGTGTGTGCTAAGTCACTTCAGTCTTGTCCAACTCTTTGTGACCCCATGGACTGTAGCCCGCCAGGCTCCTCTGTCCATGGGATTCTCCAGGCAAGAATACTGGAGCAGGTTGCCATGCCCTCCTCCAGGGGATCTTCCTGACCCAGGGATCGAACCGCCTCTCTTATGCCTCTTACACTGGTAGGTGGGTTCTTTACCACTAGCGTCACCTGGGAAGCTCCTACAATTGTGCTAACTGTTTGGTAATGGTTTCAATTTGACAGGCGACATGCACTTTGTTTGAATTCATGCTACTTTTATTTTCACATCTTGAGGACAGAAAGTCTATGGTTTCCAAAACACACCCCATCATAAGAGGGATCTTACGAATGAGGATGTCCTGGGGAGGGGCCAATACTTGATCAGCGATGTGGCAGGGATGGGAAAACACAACAGTTGTCCAACCCGACTGTCTTGTAAATGGAGAAACAGGCCAGAGAGGAACGGAGACGCCCGGGGCTCTGGGGAAGCTGGGCCCGCCACCCTGGCGTCCTCACTAGGGCCGCCTCCCCTGGGTTCCTCATCTGTGACAGCCAGTGTCTGTCTAACCACTTCTCCCTTTTTTCTCCTTTTCAGGAACAAAAAAGCCCAGTAAGGCTGACAAGGAAGCATGAAGCCCAGGGAAAAGGACTCAGCAGATAACAAAGAAAGCGACTTGGAGGAAAAGAAACTGGTCAGTCCTGGTTCCCTTATGTGTCCCTGGTAGGAGCATTCAGGTGACTCGGAGGTGGTCCCTCCTAGGGGGAGGTGGCGAGGGCTTAGCACTGAAGGATGAGCAAAATTAGGGGCACTGGTAAGTGGTGTGTGTGTGGAGGAGTGTATGAGTGTCAGGACAGGCCCGGCATGCCCAAGATTGCTGGGTTATGACCACATTCTTCTTTTAAAAAATCGTTGTGTAAAACTTGAAGTATCGTTGACTCACGATGTTGTGCTAATTTTTGCTCTACGGCAAGGTGATTCAGTTATACACATAGACACATTTTAAAAAATATTCTTTTCCAGTAGAGACACAGAGGTAGAGGACAAATGTACAGATACCAAGGGGAGAAGAGAGGTGGTGGGATGAACTGGGAGTTTGGAATTGGCATACATACACCATGATGTCTCAGTTCAGTTCAGTCGCTCAGTCGTGTCCGACTCTTTGCGACCCCATGGACCGCAGCTCACCGGGCTTCCCTGTCCAACACCAGCTCTAGGGACATATTCTCAAACTCCAGAAAAGCAGTATAGTTTTCCACTTCTTTTGTGCTAGGGATTCAGGTTACAACTGTACTGCGTGTGTGCATGCTAAGTCACTTAAGTCATGTCCGACTCTTTGAGACCCCATGGACTGTAGCCCGCCAAGGCTCCTCTGTCCTTAGAACTCTCCAGGCAAGAATACTGGAAAGGGTCGACATTTCCTTCTCCAGAAGATCTTCCCGACCCAGGGATCGAACCCAGGTCTCCCGAATTGCAGGCGGATGCTTTACCGTCTGAGCCACCAGGGAAGCCCCGGCCACGTCCTCGATAGAGTGAATTGCCTTAGGACCTGCCCGAGAGCATGGGCCACAGACCGCGTGGCTGGGGGGCTGGCGTCAGATTTGCAGATGGGCGAATCCAGGCTCTGCCTGAACTTCTGTTCTTCCCCATGACGTCACCCTAGCGGCTCCTCCTGAGCCTGCTGGGAGGGTGAGTGGTATTGCTGGTGGGAACAGTTGGCGGAGGGCAGAGCAGTGTAGACGTGTCTTGGGAGATGGTTAACGGGAGCCCCGGTTACAGCTGTCATCCGGTTCACAGAGCCTCACCGGAGGGTGCTCATCACAGAGGTGTGGCGCTCAAGCGGGAAAACCAGCCTTAGCAATGGCCCAGCTGCAAATAGAGTGAATTGCCTTAGGACCTGCCCGAGAGCATGGGCCACAGACCGCGTGGCTGGGGGGCTGGCGTCAGATTTGCAGATAGGCGAATCCAGGCTCTGCCTAAACTTCTGTTCTTCCCCATGACGTCACCCTAGCGGCTCCTCCTGAGCCTGCTGGGAGGGTGGGTGGTATTGCTGGTGGGAACAGTTGGCGGAGGGCAGAGCAGTGTAGACGTGTCTTGGGAGATGGTTAACGGGAGCCCCGGTTACAGCTGTCATCTGGTTCACAGAGCCTCACCGGAGGGTGCTCATCACAGAGGTGTGGCGCTCAAGCGGGAAAACCAGCCTTAGCAATGGCCCAGCTGCACCCCGCAGGTCCCAGCCCTTTTCTTTGCTGCTGTGGACACCGACACGAGGTTGGGGGCGGGGGGACCCAGGGGGTATCTTTCTACAGGGAGTACTTACCGTGTCCTTTGTTGAGAAAAGGATGAAAATAAGAGCACTGGGCCAAGAAACAGCTCTTTAGGGGGACGGGGGGGATGTGAAGAACAATGACGAGTATTCATCGTGTGCTTGGCTGTAGACCGGGTGCTGTTTTAGGTTCCAGGGTTTTTAGTGTTCTCCATACACAAACTCTTCAGATCTTAACAAGTCTAAGAGGCGGTGGCACCATCATCAGGCCCATTTTACAGATGAGGACACCGTGCCAGAGAGGCCAAGAAGCTTGCCCAAGAGCTCACAGGTTGTCAGAAGCAAGGCTAAGACCCAAAGCCAGGCGGTTCTTCGGGCGCCACTGTCTGGGGGTTAACCTGCTGAGCTGTGGCAAGCAGAGAGAGCAGCTCTCATCACGCTCATCAAGGCTTTCAAAAGAATGGAGCTATCTGTTTTCTCACCTTGGGATGCTCTGGGGTGGCCCCTGGGAATCCAAGTTCCCCCATCTGTCTGAAGGAAGAAAGCATGGTTAACCCCAAGACCAGGCTTCCTAAATAGGCAAGCCCAGCCTGGAACTTGAGCCAGGACAGTTGGGTTCCCATCTCCAGTGTATGACGTCACTGCTCACCTCTGGGCTGGTTTGTGGGAGGGCGGGCGGGGGTGGGGTGGGAATTAATAGACAGTCAGTCCCACCAGTAGGAAGAACTCTTCAGGCTAAGCGCTGCCTCCAGGCTTTGCAACAAAAAGGGGAAGTGACTTCCTGCAAGTTTCTTTTGTTTCACTGAGGGGTGTCCAGTCCGCATTTCTGGGAGAGCCCTTCGTGCAACCCAGGGTCAGGACAGCTGCTGGAAGGCTGTCCCCACCCTCCACTCCCCTCCAAGACCTGCCCCCTCCCCCCCACCTCCAGTCTGCACCCCGCCTGGGTGGTCGGGCCTTTAGTGTTTTCAACCACCAGTGGGAACCTGGAACAGTTTTAAATGAAAAAGGCAGGTCACTGACCCAATGTGAGTTTTAGCAAGATCAGAGAGACCCGCCCTGTTAAAGAGAGGAGACCAGGGTGGATATGTGGAAAGGCCTGAGTCAAGGAGCGGGTGGAGGAAATGAGATGATGAATAAGACACCCAGGGGACCACAGAGCGGGTTCCTCTCTGCACAGTGAAATAGCCATGCTACCCCTCCCACACTTCAGGCCCCAACTCACTCAATTATTTTGCTTCTCCCCACACCCCAGGGCATCCGTGTCTGCAGGACTGGCTCTGCCCTCTTACCCCACACCCTTCTCTGCCTGCATTATTCCCCTGGCTTGCTCATCCTGTAAGAGTCGGCTCTGGAATCACCTCTTCCAGGAAGTCTTCCAGGATCAGCCCCAGGTTGGCTTAGTGCCTCCTCCGTGTTTCCCAGGAGAATCCTCAGCTCTCGCATGTGATGCCACAATCGAGAGCTTCCATGTTAGAACCCTGCTCTGGACCCGGCTCTGTGAGGGGAGCTGGCCAACTGGCTGAAAATTTCAGAGACAGCCAATTCTCCCAGCGGCCTCCCTGCATGACTGATATGCAGAATGAATATTGCACTGAATCATTCATGCACTCAGAAATAACCAGCCTAATTATTCAGGGTTGGCTTTTTCCTTTNCTGAAAATTTATTTCAGAGACAGCCAATTCTCCCAGCGGCCTCCCTGCATGACTGATATGCAGAATGAATATTGCACTGAATCATTCATGCACTCAGAAATAACCAGCCTAATTATTCAGGGTTGGCTTTTTCCTTTTGGAACTTTCGGTTCCCCACTGAGCAGCTCCCTTCCCACTGATCTGCATCCCCGGAGCTGGATGATTTTGTGCACTTGACAATCCACGCTCCCAGAAATTCTGCCGTGATCCATAGCTTTTATTTCACTATGTGCTTTCCATTAAACCCAGGTTGCCGGCTTTGGGTCTCTCTTTTGTGGATTTGCAGCCACCCTGGCCTTCTAGGGGTCCTCTGTTCCCCGAGCCTGCCATCATTCTGCTGGTCTCTGCACCTGGTCTCTGCTCTGGGCGCAAGTTGCCAAGGCATGTCCTAAACATGATTTAAGGCCCTTCTCTGACATCCGAGCAAGTCAGCCGCACAGGGAGTTAATTCACATGACATCTTGGTGTGCATGAGGGGTCTTGCCTCCTTAATGCTTTCCCTGAGCCAGCCCGCCTGAACGAGCAGGGCAGAGTAACAATCAATGGCAAATTCTTTTTCTTCCAAACCCACAACTTCCCTGCTTGTTCTAGAGCTGCAGGGCAGCCTGTCTTCATCTCCAATATGTTGCTCAGGGCTTTGTGTTTTCTATTTGAGTCTCGGAATGACTCTGCAGGATCATCAGGGAGGGATCAAGCTCCCATTTTGCACTTGTAAATGTGGTAGCTCAGAGAAGCAAATCAATTTGCCTAAGGACACACAGCTAAATAGTGGTGGAGCCATGGTTGGAACCCTGCCAGGCTTCTCCGGGAGCCAGTGATCTGTCTGTCCCAGGCCTCAAGGAGATTTTGCTCTGGGTTCATGCTAGTTGCTCCCCTCCCAGCATGCTGGCCTTAAGAGGGGAAAGAAAAAGATGCCAGAGAGTGTCAACTTCAAATTGGCACGTGCCATCTACCTCTGCAATGCGGGATACCTGGGTTTGATCCCTGGGTTTGGAAGATCCCCTGGAGAAGGGAAAGGATACCTACTCCAGTATTCTCCATGGCCTGGAGAATTCCATGGACAGTCCATGGGTTCGTAAAGAGTCGGACACGGCTGAGCGACTTTTCACACCTAAGTGCCTTTCACTTTCCCTCTCATCTACCTCTGCAAAGATTAAATCTTCAGCTCCTGCAGCTGCTGACCTTCAACATCCCCTGAAGGGAGTTCAGGATGGAGGTAGGGAATTGGGGCACTCTGTGCTCTGGGAAAACTGGCAGGACAGGCCTTCAGATAGTTAGGTATTTTCGGGAGCTGATAGTATGAACTCAATTCTTACATCTCTTCATATCTAGAAAAGCACTTCATCCCTTCATGGATTTCCAGGGCTGCAGTCCTCATTTTGCCCCAAATAAAAATTCACAACACTCACGCTATGCAATTTCTTTCTTTCTTTCTTTTTTTAAGTAGACAGAAGAATCAGGTACTCAGGGTGGTGATTTCTGGGAAGAGAAATTTCCCTTTCAGGCCTCTCCAGCTGCTGCAGTGAAGACTTGTGAATGGGAAAAATTTTTACTGCCCATTTCCTGTTCAGACAAGATACAATTGCCACATTTCCTGTTCGGGCGCCCCCGTGCCCTCCCTCCATGGACTCTGCCTCCTGTTTCAGGGAGATGGCCTGGCAGAGCCCCGACTGGGGGTGCTTCGGGCGAGCCAGCTGCGGGGAGGGCCAGCGGGCGGGTCTTCGCCAAACAGGACTCGACTCAGCTCCCCTTACCCACAGCCACCCAGGGCCTCACGGGCGTGCCCATCCGAGGACTGTGATGCTGGGCAGGAGGAGAAAGGTAAACACAGCACCTGGCCTCTGTCCGGGCCACGGAGGGCTCTCTCGGCCTTCCTGAAAAGCCTCTGGTCTTGACTCGTGGCTCCTGGACCCTGTGACGTTGGCTTCGGGGCTCCAGCTCTGACATCGCAGCTCCCTGGGCTCCTGCCAGCTTCTTCTGGCAGTGTGGCGGTGCTCGGGCAATGAGGCCACACAGAGACCTGCTCTCATCACAGGCGCGGTGCTGTGCCCTCTCATCGTCTCCATCCCCACTGTGGGGTGGGTGCTGAGACCTGGAGGGCAGGCAGGGCTGGGAGCTCTGGGGGACAGGCCTCTCGGCTGCGCTTCTCTGCTCTCCAATGGATGCAGACAAGGATGTAATGACCAAGGCTAGGAGTGAGGGAAGCCTGGGGACCCACACAGCCCAGGGATCAAAAGGAGCAACATCTGAGCCGAGCCCCAGAGGATGAGTTTAAAGACAAAAGGCGATGGAGGATGGGCATGGTGTCCAAAAGTGATTCTGTTCCATCGATGCATCCCATTCAGTCCCCACTCCTCTTACTGCAGAAAGCACTCTGGCCCCACACTTGCCAGCGTCCGTCTCTATGGTCCATAAATCCTCCTTCTGGCCTCTGTCTGATCACCAGTATTTACAGAGCACTTTCTCAGCAGGTTTGGGGCCTGAAAGCAAGACCCCCACCCTCAAAAAGTAAGACCCACACCAACTATCCAGCCTCTGCTGTTGATACTCAGGGTACCTACCCCCTGACACCTATTCTAACTTCTTTCTTCTGCAGAATATCCCATGAGGTGGGTCTGTTGCAGGGAAGGGCCAATTCTGACTCTGTTTTGGAACTGTTTCTTTGACTTGCTTTTCATGGCTTTTGTTATTATGATCATATATAAGGGCCTGCTTCAGAGAGCCCTGTCCCTCTGGCCGACTGTTCAAGTGCCTTTGTTCAGAACACTGCAGAAAGGAAAAAGTTAACACAGTCCCTGCCCAAGACTTATCATTCTAGGAGATACTTGCAAGATTAATGACCTTTTTACTTTGTTTCCTCACAGCTCCCCTGCCCCATCTATGTTCTATAAGAGAACCAGGCATGAGACCCTGATAAGATGGTTGTTTTGAGACATTTTGAGACAGGCTGTTTTCTCAGCCTGCTTGGACTCCGTAACAGGTCTGTTAACATCCCCATTTCACAGACGAGGACTTCAAGTCCCAGAGGAGCTACATCACTGGTCTAAGTTTACACAATTGTAACTGGCAGAGATGGTGTGGTGGTGGTTTAGTCGCTAAGTCCTGTCCGACTCTTGCGACCCCATGGACTGTAGCCCACCAGGCTCCTCTGTCCATGGGATTCTCCAGGCAAGAATACTGGAGTGGATTGCCATTTCCTTCTCCAGGGGATCTTCCCAACCCAGGAATCAAACCCAGGTCTCCTGCATTGCAGGCAGACTCTTCACCGACTGAGCTACAAGGGAAGCCTCGGCAGAGATGGGGGTCAGACAAAAGGGATAGAAAAGTAAAAATGAGGAGGTGGGACTTTCAGGGTGACTTTCAAGGGGTCTTAGATATGAAGGTCTCCAGAAGGGAGGATTTCAAGGGGCACAGGGGCATCAACCAGGGTGAGAGACCTTGGCACGTAGCTTAGGCAACAGGCATTCTGCATGGCTTGGTCAGAAGGAGCAGAGAGAGAAAACAGAGGAAACAGCCTTTCAGAACAGTGGCTGTGTGCACACACCCTCTCAATGTCCTCAGCCAGCTGCACATCCACAACAGTCTATGCAGCTGTGGCTACAATTTACAGCTGTGGGCTACAATTTGCGCGTTTTACAGCTGGGCAAGCTGAGGCCCAGAAAGGTCAAGGCCTTGGACAGGTCCCAGAGCCATGGTGGAGCAGTCCAGCACTGGAGATCGTGCTGGAGGAGGCTGCCAAGGTGGGCCAAGCAGGGAACTGGCTGTCAGAGTCTAGCTTCCTTTTCTGGTCAGTGTTTGATTTATTCCCTTGCCTCAGCAATTAATATCATGTCTACTGCTGCATTCCCTGGGGCTTCGTCAGGGTCTGGCACCTAGAACACACACACACATGAAAAATGATGGAGAGAAAGTGCTTTCTGAGAGCACCAGGTCCCTCCCCCCCCCAGGTTCTGACAAGTGGTCCACGCTTTCCTCGCCAGGTTAGGATGGCAGCCCCTCCCACCTCCAGCCCCTGCCGCTGGCCAGCCTTTGCCAAGGGGCCCAGCTGCTTGTACTCCCGGTCCCATGGTGGCTGTGGCCATCCACGGATGGGTCCAGCGGGCAGGATTACATGGAGACAAGTGCTTGGTCCTCCAGGCCAAGTCCTGTCTCTCTGTCCACGGGTCCTTTGCCAAGGTGCTCACACCAGCCTGTAGGTGGACAGCTCAGCCTGGAACAGAGCACGCGTTGGGGTGTGTGCCTCCTGGGGCCACCAGCCCCCCAGACGCTGCGCCCAGGAGAGGGGTCAGTGGGGGAGGCAGTGTGGTGCAGTGGGTGCTGCAGGGGGGCTGGAGCCGGACCACTTGGGTGGGCTCTGGTCTCCATCCCAGACACCACCAGGGTCTGCTCCGTGTAGAGTAAGGGAGTTAGAGAGGGCAAGATTTGGAAAAAAGAATGAGACCGGCACTTTATAGGAACAGATCACCTTTAATGGGGCGAGAAGGGGCAGCAGTCAGATNGCATCCTTACCCTGGGAATTCTCCCCAGGGAAGAGGACAGCCCACCTGCGTCCTGCGGGCCCCTGGCTGTGCCCCTGAGCGCCGGCTCTGATCTGCTTTGCCCTCCTTTCCCAGGACTGGTCCTGCTCGTTGATCGTGGCATCTCTCGTGGGCGCCTTCGGCTCCTCCTTCCTCTACGGGTACAACCTCTCTGTGGTGAACGCCCCGACTCCGGTGAGTGCCCCCGCGGCCGCGAGAGGCGCCCGGCAGAGGGCGCTGCAGCCACGCGGAAAGCCGGGTGTTCCCACCAAGGCTTGGATGGTACCCCATTCTGCAAACCTTTGCTGGCCGGTTCTGTGCCAGACTCCGGCTGGACCCTGGGGTGAGGGGAGGGACAGAGAGAGTAAGGGCAGACCCCGCGCTCAAGGGGGAGGTGGGAGATACAGAAAGAGGATGATGGCACAGCGTGGGGTCAGTTCCTTGCTCCTGGAGGGTCCTGGGAGAGTGTAGGAAAAGGAGAAGGGGTCGTAGGAGGTCCCAGGGTCCAGATCCTAAGGGTCTTATTCCGGGGCAAGGAACACGGAATCTGAGGCTCACGGAGGGATCTTAGGCATAGAAACATTTCCCTGATCTGTGTTTTTTGTTTGTTTGTTTGTTTGTTTGTTTGTTTGTTTCTTGTCTGTGTTTATGGCTTTTAATCACAGCTAGAGGTCACTTGGGTATACGGTTGGTTTAAGATGCATCTCTAGCTCTTGTTTTCTTCTGAAATCAGGTCACTGGGCGCAGTTCCCCAGGCCCTCCTAACATCACTCTGCTGGTTTGCACTTGAAAGTTTGGTTTGCACCCACCTCGACTGTTAGGTTTGGGTTCTACCTATTCCTGTAAGCGCTGGCTTCTACTTGACCAAACTTCATCCCTGGGGTAAAATGGATGGGTCAAGGGTGGTGGGACAGGAAGACTTCCTGGAGTAGGTGATATCAGAGCTGCATCTTGACTGTGGAGCAAAGGCACAGAAGCCTGAGATATGAAACATTTGCAGAAATGCAGGTCTGATATGGTTGGAGCCCAGGATGTATTTCGGAGAGTGTAAGGGCGTGAGCTAAAGAGGCAGATAGAGTGCAGGCTATGGACTTCACTGGGTGTTTGTAAGGCTTTTCCTTGTTTGGGGGCCTAGCATGCTATGTGCAAAACACATGGGGAGGCCGAATCAGTGAATCTCAAAGGGATCCCAGGAGCCCTGACTTTGCAGACATGCCTCAGGGATCCAGCCTCCATCTGTGCAGAAAAGCACCATTTTTTCACTCTGTTAACCCTTTTATGTTTGGGGCTCTGTCAGCTCATTCGAAAAACTGATTCTGATACTAAAAATTGTTTGAAAAGCCAGGAGGACTAGATGGCTTCTCCGAACACTGGCAGTAATCAATGGCTTTGATTTTGTCATTGTGATGTCATCCTGAGATGGGGTCTGATGTGTCCATAATTGCCTTTAAGAGCATTGGGAATTTGCACTCTTTTATTTACTTGGGCTTCCCAGGTGATGGAGTGGTAAAGAATCTACCTGCCAACGCAGGAGATGCAGGAGACTCAGGTTCTACCCCTGGGTCCGGAAGATCCCTGGAGAAAGAAATGGCTACCCACTCCAGTACTCTTGCCTGGAAAATTCCATGGATAGAGGCACCTGGAAGGCTACAGTCCATGGGGCTCCAAAGAGTCTGACATGACTAAGCACACAATTTGTTTATTTATTTGGCTGTGCTGTGTCTTAGTTTCGGCACACTGTACCTTCCTTGCATGCTGCGGGATCTTTCACTGCAGCATATGGATTCTCTAGTGTGGCTCACGGGCTTCGTAGCTCCGTGGCATGTGGGATCTTAGTTCCCAAACTAGGGATTGAACCCACGTCCCCTGCTTTGCAAGGTGGATTCTATAACCACTGGACCACCGGGCAGGTCTCTGGGAATTTGCACTTTTGCTTCATCTTGATAATCCAGCAGAGCCTCCAGCGGAGGGTAGAGGATCACTTACAGCTTATGGGGCAAAGACACATGTAAAAGTTGTAAAACTTGAACATGGAATAGAATAACATGAGCGGAAACATCATAATTCAAGCAATGATCATGGGGACAGGAGGAAGGAGTAATCGTGTCGTTTACTCATTCGAAACTGTTTTTAATTAATAAACTTTATGTTTTAGAGCAGCTTTAGGTTAGAGAAAAGCATGGAATTCCCATATACTCCCTGCCCCCACACATGCAGCCTCACCCACTCTGAACATCCAGGGCCGTATCTTTGTTATATCTGATGAACCCACCTTCACACATCCTTATCAGCCAGAGCCCACAGTTTACATGAAGGTTCACTCTTTGTGTTATACTTTCTACAGATTCGGACACAGGTATGATGACTTGTGGGCCTGCCTGGTGGCTCAGTGGTAAAAGAATCCGCCTGCCAATGCAGGAGACAGAGGTTCAATTCCTGGGTCAGGAAGATCCCCTGGAGAAGGCAACGGCAACCCAGGCCAGTGTTCTTGCCTGGAGAATCCCATGGACAGAGGAGCCTGGAGGTTTACAGTCCACGGGGTTGCAAAGAGTCAGACGTGACTGAGCGACTAAATGACGATGAAAACCACATGATGACTTGTACCCACCACCGTAGTGTGTTACAAAACAGTCCCCAAACACCCCTGTGCTCTGTGCGTTCCTCCTTCCCACAGCCTGGCAACCACTGGTCTTTTGACTGTCTCCACACAGGCACACCTTGCTTTACTGCCTTTTGGGTTTTCTTGGCAGCTATTGTATATGTAACAAATGGGAGGTTTGCGTTAACCCTGTGCTGAGCACGTCCATGGCACTGTTCTTCCAGCAGTGTTTACTCACTGCTTGTGTCTGTGTTACATTTGGATGATCTCACAGTATTTCAGACTTTCCATACTGTATTCATATGGTGATCTGTGATTTTTTTTTTTTTTTTGGCTGCACCTGCAGCATGCAGGATGTAAGTTCCCTGACTTGGGAGAGAACTCATGCCCCCTGCATTGGGAGCACAAGTCCTAACCACTGGATCACCAGTGGTCCACCGACCAGGACTCTTATTGATGTTACTGTTATAATTGCTTTGGGGCTCCACAATCTGGGCCCATATAAGACACAGAACTTGGTGGGTCAGTGTTGTGCGAGTTCTGACTGTCCACTGACCAGCTCCTCCCCCATCCCATCTCTTTCTCCTTGGGCCTCCCTATTCCCTGAGACCCAACAAGACTGAAATTAAGCCAATGAGTAACCCTACAATGGACTCTAAGTGTTCAAGTGACAGGAGGAATCATGTCTCACTTTAAATCAAAAACTAGAAATTACTAAGCTTACTGAGGAAGGCATGCTGAATAAGATGGGTCTAAAGCTAGGCCTCTTGCCCCAAACAATTGCCCAAGTTGTGAATGCAAAGGACTAGTTCTTGAAGGAAATTAAAGGCGCTACTCCAGTGAACACATAAACTGGCAAAAAAGTAAAGCAGCCTTACTGATGCTCTACAGAAGGGTGTAGTGGCCTGGAAGGAAGATCCCACCAGACACAACATTCCCTTAACCAAAGCCTAATCCAGAATCAGTTTCCCAGGTGGTACTAGTGGTAAAGATCCTGCCTGCCAATACAGGGGATGCAAGAGAGATATGGCTTTGATCCCTGGGTTGGGAAGATCCCCTGGAGGAGGAAATGGCCACCCACTCCAGTATTCTTGCCTGGAGAATCCCTTGGACAGAGGAGCCTGGTGGGCTACAGTCCATAGGGTCACAAAGAGTCGGACACAACTCAGCACGCACGCTTGCATATTTTGTGTATACAATGAATATCATACAAAGTATATTCTAAACATAAAAATACTGAAAAAAAGTTTGTTAAATGAGAAAATGAGGGAGAAAAAATAACTGAGAACTTTGCTTTGCCAAGGGGGTCTAATTTATTGTCCCCACTCCCAAGCCACATAAACTAGGACTTAGTTGAAACAACACCAGCCTCCACAAAAATAACAGTGAGTGGTCTGGCTTTTATAATGAGTCACCTTTCTAATGATTTCTGAGTTGGTGACATTTATTCTTTTCTTGGGAGGGGATACAGAAGCTCACCTCCCTGCCCCGCCCTTGTGTCAGTATTTAAGCTCAGGGCTTCAGCAGAACAATTAATTTGACTCATCATACATTTCCCAGCAGCAATGGTGTAGTTTATCATTTTCCTCTCCCCAGTCCTTCCCTAAGGGCAGGTAAACACCACAGTGATAAGGAGTAAAATCATCACCTCTCTCTCCAAGAGCAGAGCCATCCCAATTAGTGGCAGATGTTAGATGCCGGCCCAGGCAAAAATGCCAATGAGCCAGCAGACAGAAAGGCAGAAGCGAGTTGTGGTCCTTTCAATTAATCCCACCCCGGGCTGTTGTTTTAAAGCAGCTGTTCTGGAAGCCCCCATGCTCTCAGAAAAGCAGGGCACATCGTGGGATGCCTCTCTGTGGTCTGAGGTCTTTAACAAGGAAAATGATTAAATAGGAGGGCTGATGAGTGTAGAGCTTGTTACAGACATCTGGGTGGATCGGGACCAGTGGAGGCGGCGGGGAGCGGGGCTCCACCTCTTGGTGGGAGAAGACTAAGATTACAGGAGAAACCAGCACATCTTATTATTTCAGAAACAACTGGCCATTAATTTGATGAGATAGTCATCTGATTAATTTCATCGTGGACCAGCATTTCCTCTGATTTGGGAATCTCATTCTTGCTTTCTCCTTTTTTCTCTTTTCCTTTTGTCTCATCATGTCTCACTAGTTATGCAAGCAAAACAGGCTGCTATTAGCAAAAACAAACAGCACAACTTTAATCATTCACCCATAAAATTATTGCTATGATTCCTCTTGCATGAAGCAGGAACTGAATCTCTCATTTGGATATCAACTCTCATGGCAGGTTTTGTGACATGCGTGCATGCATGCTAAGTTGCTTCTTTCATGTCCGACACTTTGTGACCCCATGGACTGTAACCCACCAGGCTCCTCTGTCCACGGGATTCCCCAGGCAAGAATTCTGGAGTGGCTTGCCATGCCCTCCTCCAGGGGATCTTCCAGACCCAAGGGTGGAACCCGCATCTTTTATGTCTCCTGCTTTGGCACAGGGGTTCTTCACCACTAGCATCACCTGGGAAGCCCTAGATATTGTGACAGTAATCTCATTTTACAAAACAGGGAGCCTGGGGGGGTGG